AAACAAACAAACAAACAGAACCTCTTCTCTTGCCTCTCTGAGCTCTGTCATAGTGGTGACTGCCAAAGCCGGACACAGCTAAACAAACAAAAAAAAAAAGGGAAAAACAAAAAGAAGGGGTAACCGAATCTGGGGGCATTCACAGCCAAATGCCACCCCTCTAGCAGCCCCTTTAATAGTTGTTAATGTCAAGGGACATGTATACCCCCCTTTTACAGCACCCACACCCCTCCTTTTCTTCTTTTTTCTCTTTTTCTTTGGCTGTCTGGACACACCTGAACACCCACTGGCAGATGGTAATGCGGACAGTTCCGATTCCATGGATGTCTGGATGTCTGGATGTTGTTTACGATATCAGGACAAAATTCAAGAGCATTCTGAACCAAGGCCTGGCCCATGTCCGGATGCGTCCATAGTCTGGACCTGGCACAGCCTGAGAACTGGATTCATTGCCGACACAAGCTCATTCTTGGGCCAGATCCCACTAGCCCCTATTCTTCATTTTTTTATCTTCGTAATCGAGGGTGAAAAATGAATAATCCAGGTTCAAGTCCCGTCTGCTGACTGTGTACACAACCAGACCACCGCTGCGCTGCGCTGCTCGCCTATTGCTAGGCTGCTGCTGTAAATAAAGCTACTACGATCCCTGTGCCCCATTCGAAAAGAGATTTGAATGGTTCAGCGGTCTTCAGCATGCATATTGCATTTGAGTAAATCAAACCCGCATCAGAATTGTTGAGCAGGAATGGAAAGGACAAACAAAAAATTTGGTACAAGCACAGAGAAAACGCCGAATTCATCCAGCGGCCTAACTCAGTTGGAAGCCACGCAAGTGGCATTCAGGAGGTCGTAGGTTCAATCCCCATTGGCCTCATGTACCGTCCTGGGCATGCTTGGCGCCCGCCACCTAGAGATAGCCCGTTGGTCCTCCCAATCCTGTCTCTTATACACATCTAGATGTGTATAAGAGACAGTTCGCACACAGTCTGACACGAACTGACATCCCGTCACAATGGCAAAGGCCGAAACTTTTAGCTGTTGGCCTTTCTTTCCTGCGAGGGCGCCCTCCAAAAGGTAAGTGGAAGGTACGTGAAAATCAGAACGAA